TAAACTTAACCTTTTCATCTGTAGATAAAGATTTTATTTATCGTCTTGTATAATAAATAACTATGACTAAATGACCTACTTAATAAAATAACTCCAAAAAAAGTTGAAATATCTGTATTGTGCGTATTTTGTAACGAGTGTTTATTTAAATTTGGTGGTATAGTTGGCGGTGATATAAGTGTGTTGTGAACAGACCACAATTTTTAATACGCCCGGCGAGGCGTCAAATGTCAGATTAATAACTTTCGATACGGTGGTTCGTTCACAATCGAACTTTAATGAATAGCTTTGACGACAAATTAAAAAAAACACTCATTACAATATTTAGAAAAGTCGAACACTTTCTAAGTGGTTCGTTCACAATCGAACTTTAATGAATAGCTTTGACGACAAATTAAAAAAAAAAACACTCATTACAATTTTTAGAAAAGTCGAACACTTTTTAAGTCCCAAAATTGACTTTATCTTATTTTATTTCTATTGACTAATAAAATAACTAAAACTTTTTAAAAACATATGCAATATGTTTTTAAATGGGCTTAAACTAACATAAATGTGATTATCATTGTATGATGCAAAGAAAAATTTCAAATTATGGAGAAATTTTAGGTAAAAGAAATGGAATCAAGCGTTTTTATAGAAGGTGCGTCAGAACTTGCTGTCCCGGAGTAAAATTTCAAGTAAGATAAAATACCAGATACATGGAAAAAAATGTCAAAGAAATTTGACGTTTATTTTTTAGCATTTAACATTTTTTTATGTCTATTTGATGATACTAAGAATCTTGAATTTATGTTCTTTATAATTATTTAGTAATGGTACAAAAATTTTGCCAATAAAAGCCACAAATAAAATTAAACAGAGTTACAATTTAGAGAATACAGCTTCTTTGTTTCCTCTTCTAATATTCAGCAAAAAAACTTGGAAAATTATTTTTCCAACAGAAATTAATGGAGTCAAAGTACAAAATTTAAACTCTCATAACTTCTAAATTTTTATACGTAGAATTTGTTTAAGAATTTTTTCATGTTTCTGGTATCTTACCTTTCTATGGAGCACGAGTTTTGGTGCAGCCATTGTCTCAACATTTTATTACAAAAAAATTAAATCTTATAGTTTCAGATTTTTTTCCTCCTTTGACTTTTCAGTTGACCCATTGTTAATTTAACTAAACTAATAATCCACAGTTAGAAACAAAGTGACTCACTGTAAAATCTCGCTATCGAATTTCAGCGAAGCCATTCTAGCAAATACGTTTTAATGTACACAACGTTATAGTGGCCTTTCCGGTTAATAGCGAGCTTTAGCCGGCAATTTATGTAGGTTTGTAATAATACACATATAGCCAAATTACTCCAATTAACACTCTTGCTAAAGCCGCATATCTACCGTTTAAGTGGTTAAATTTAGGCTGTCGCTCAACCCTGATTCCCACACAAAAAACTCAACCCTATCATATTTCGATTAATTATTCAAGATGTAGAGACCGCCGCTGTTTAACCTCATGATCTTCCCGGCAGAAATTGATTATGTGGATTAGCTTTATTGGCCCCTAAAGATTTTATTAGGCTTTGTAACGGTCAGCGGAAAATTCAAAAGGGAATTGTTTTTCTTCAGCGAGGGGATTATTAATGAGGTTAACGAGCTTAAAGAACGGTTCAATTGGATTAAGTCAAGTTTTGTTGTCTTTGACGCCTACGTAATGAAATTTCTCTTCACACTTAATTTTTTCAGACTGACAAGAGTCAATTCTATTTTTAGGCAGATTCAACATCGATTAAATACGTGATTTAAGTTTTGACGAAAATTATCTGATAAATTTTATATCGAGGAGATTTGCTTTTAATTGTGATTAAATCTCGATTTTGAAAAAAGTAAACATTGCTCCCATCAACAATAATAACCTGTCAGGCACGTGATGATCAATTCAATTCACTGAGGAAGTGCTGATGATACGAAACTTGCAAACTACATATTTCCAAACTTTGTTTGCTTAAGCAGCTCATATGTGAATCCTGATGCATGTTTTATGTATTGTATAGCTCATGAATTATTCATTGCAGTAACTGATTGAAACAAGCGTGTTTAAGTCTAACCTGAAAATTAAAATAAATGTTTACAAAGTGGTACTTGATAGTGAGTTATTTACAATATTGTTAAAAACAACTACTAATATCTCACTTAACTCCTGAATTTGATGTTTCCTGAATCCTAACTTAGATACAGTCAATCTGCAGTTGCAACTACCGTTATAATGGGAAAACACTCAGCACAAATTTTGTGAAGAATGATAAAGATATGAGAACAGATAAACATAGGATGTGATGCTTTATCTACATATTTTACTTTTTTAAAGTACTCTTAAATGTTAGACTTTAAACTTTGCTCAAATTCGTTGAATTAAAAATAGTAATGCTATGTTATGTTACATCCATTTTTGTTAAAACTTATTATAATATGTTTTGAAATAAGGTATNGGTATAAAAATGGAAAAAATACAAACACAATAAAAAATTAATAAAAAAATTAAAAAATTAATTTACTGTAATATCAAAGGTAGTTTTAGAACATTATAATACTTAGCAAATATTCCAAAAATATCCGACTAACTGTATTTAAATTAGTAGAAGAATATAAGCTGAAAATGTATATTTCTATTTTGCGTCTAAAAGAAAGCTTATTTTGATACCAAAACCGATGCTTTAATAAGCCATTACCGATTCGGGTGTTAAAATAGACTAGTACAATTTACTTTCTAGAGGTTGCTAATAGTAATTTTCAGTGGCGTTTTGAGCGATTTCTGTTTTTAGGTGGTGTGCATGAAATATTTGCAGTATTCATCGTGAATTCAACAAAATTTCGAAAAATACTTGAGACTTGTTTCAAAAATCGAACTTTCAAACTTTGTGACATTTATTAGCAACCACAACCCAAAACCTTATTAGAGCAAAAATTACTAAATTTTGAAAAATTGACCTTAATGTTAAAAAATAATATAGTAATAATAGCATAAAAAACCTGTTTTTTGTTTCTTGTTTTCCTGATGCCAGGAACAAGAAAAAGTGTTTACAAAATTCCATCTGTTTACTTATTTAGTTATAATCTTGTTTTTAAGATTCCAAAAAGTAATTTGGTTCAATTTTGAAGCTTTCGATTTTTCCATTTTTTTTTAAATTTGGACCGATTTCTGATACTGTGTGCCCCAGAGATATTTTTCACGTAAGATACCAGAAGCATGGAAAATATGTTTAAAAAATTTAATCTATAAAAAAAATTCTGACGATTCTGAGATCCTATTTAATGATCCTGATGATTTTGTATATGTTTTTTTTTTTATAATTATCTAGTAAAAGTACAAAAAATTTGCCAATAAAAGCCACAAATAACATTAAACAAAGTTAGAATTTAGGATACAGCGACCTCTTCTAATAACCTGTTGCAAAAAACTTGGAAAATTATTTAATAAATACAGTGAAAGTACAAAATTTAAACTCTCATAACTTCAAAATTTTTCTAGATAATTTTTTTAACATTTTTTTTATGTTCTTAGTATCATTTTTTTCTGGCACGCAAGTTCTGGCACACACAAAAAAAAAATCAGTAATTTTTTATTTTGAAAACACAAAAAACAAATAAAAAATTTTCTACATGTTTTTTGCAGATTTAACAAATTTTCTAACCACTAATAAAACACGTCATTTTTATTTCCAACTGTTTCAAAAAACGTGTCATTTTTGAGTTAAAATTAAAAGTAAATTGGTGCTGAAAACTCGTTTCCACCTATCTTGATACCATTCATTAATTCATCAGAAAAAACTATGAAACGTAAATTTTAGCGCTACATTAGGTAGATCAAAAGTTGATAATCCATCATTTATTTCTTTTTAATAACTAATCAATTATTTTGTGATATTTTTTTTTTTCTCCTTTGATTACATACTTTCAGTTATCTTTTGAAGATAGAAAGCTTATTGAAGTGCATAAAACGTGAAATATTCTCCAACCTTTACTCTACACGTGATGTTAAGTTTTTTCTTTCATTTTGCAAAAATATTTGCTTGAATTGATTGCATAATTAAATTGTTTTAATAACATAGATGTGTGTTTTACTCGTATCTACAAACACAAGCAACACTCTATTGAAGTAACAATTTATTTATTATTATTTCTTAACACCAATTCACTTTTGTTATTTAACTAACAATGGCCCTAACACACACAATAAGTGTCGCTTTCAAACGTAAAGAACAAGATAAAGATTTTAAAACACAAGTCACAAATACAAATAATTATATTTTCTCGTAACAATAGTACCCTTCGTAATGGCTTTTTGAAGACATTTGCATGTTTCTGAGAGCTGTGCTTGTTTGCATATATTACAAATTCGTGTTTATTAACAACATCCAGATTACAATAAACAAGCAACAAAGGTGAATTAACCTGTAGCCAAGCAAAATTGTAATCAGTCTGGCAAAACAGGTGTCCACTATCTCATGTAATAATAATAAAAATCTGATTGTTGTCTTAAAAGAGCGGTAAACGTCAATAATGATAATTGAAGTGCTTTCCCTGGAAACAATTTTTTTTTTTGCTTCGCAATACAATTTTTTCCGGGTGTCATTGTATTGCGTTAACTGGGGGTTTTGGAGATGCAATTATCGTTATCTTGTCGCTTGGTAAAAGAGCTTCCAGTGCTTTCGTTTACCGGAGTTGCTTTAATATGACGAAACAGGTGTTGGAGAAAAAGAATAAAAGTTGGGTCGATAAACAATAAAGATAAAACCTAAACAAAACGAAAGTTCTGGAAATCCTTGCAAATTAGATTGCACATTTTTCAGATGAAAATTTTAAACAATTAAAAACAAATGTAATTGAGAGGTAATTTCAACCAGTGCCGGCCACTCAAGTCTTATCTTACCATTCCACAGATAAAGAAACGATTTGATTGATAAAGATCTAATTGTTTTTATTGTATAATACCATGAACGATTTCAAAACTATTATTTCGGTGTAGGTTGTACAACATACTGCACTCATTTAAGGTAAGTCGCTTCGTTTATTTTTTTAATAAAAAAAGAAATTAAATCTTGAAATATTTAGTTACAGAATCATGGATTTCACACTTATTCTCTTGTTGACATGCTTCACTATTGGTCTAATTAACTTCTGCAAATGGCTCAAGAACCGAAAACGAATTTGGGACGCAATTGAACCAATAGGTGGTGAAAAATGGTACCCTTTGATTGGTACTTGCCTAGAACTGGCCCAAACTAAGAGAAAAGGTACAATTTTTAAATTTGTAAAAAAAAATTAATGATGTCAATGTAGATTTCTACGACGTGTATTGTGCCAGAAATGTGAAATATGGACCTTTCTTCAGAACATGGATGGGCTTTATTCCAGCTATTCATGTCATGAAACCTGATCACGTTGAGGTAAGTAATTTTTTTCAAAAATTATTATTTACACAATTCCAAATGTGATTGGATTTATGTATTGTTATTTTCCAATTTAATTTACTTTTTCAAAAACATATCTTATTAAAAATTTGATAAACTAAAATTGATAAGGAAAATCTGAACTGTTATCAACCGATAACTTTTTATTATGAAATCTATTGCATTATTGCTCTACTTGTAATTGCATAATTTAGAATCAAAGCTAGCATTTTTAGTAATTTTAGCTAAACAACATCTGAAATTTGGATAGCTATAGCTTATAGCTTATTGTTTTCAGGAGTTTTTGCTACCTTTTTTTTTAATTTAAGCTACAGCTAGTCGTACTATAAAAATATTACGTTTTGTTTACATCAAAACCAAGTAAAAAGTCGTTTTATATACGAGTACTTAATTTACTCATTAATTTTTTTAAATATCTTACTACAATATTTTTTTTGTCTCATACTTATTATACAGAATGTCCGAATAAATAATTCCTTAGGTCAATATACAGTATGTCCCCGGATTGAGTTTACAAGAAGAAAAAAAACATTTATCTTTGATTTTACGCCAAAACTGCAAAGGAAAAAAAAGTTTTTGCTTTACTTGAAACGAGCAAATCTGTAATTAAAACTTCCTTATTCTAACTCAGTAGAAAGAGAAGTCCATTTTTCTCTTGATTTTGGACTTTCTTTGGAATAATTTTTCTCTGCTTTTTAAGTCCTATCACATTGGCTGTTTTATTATTTTGACAATGATGTCACTTTGACAAATAAGTTTACACAAGTTAAATATAAAAATGTTTGTGAAAAACATAATTTTAATAAACAGCAACTCAAAGAAACAGCTTTAAGGTTAAAAACAAAGTCATTTTTAATTAATAAATTAATTGTCAAAGTGACATATAGTTGGCAAATAATTAAAACCGCCAATGTGATAAGACTTAAACAGCAGAGAAAAATTATTCCAAGTCCAAAATCAAGAGAAAAATGATTTTTTTTCTACTGAGTTAGAATAATGAAGTTCTAATTACAGATTTGCTGGTTTCACGTAAAGCAAAAACTTTTTTCCTTTGCAGTTTTGGCGTAAAATCCAAGATAAAATTTTTTTTCCTCTTGTAAAGTCAATCCGGGGACATACTGTAGAAAAAAACTTTATGAAAACATGTTCAAAAATGCTTCGTTCAAATGTCACAAAACTTTTTTTTAAAGAAAATCAGTTACTCCTAATTAACAAATCAGAATATGTAGAAAACTTTTCAAAGATAAATAATTTCAAAGCAAAATTTTTGCCTTAATAAGTCTTTTTGCCTTTAACTTTCTTAGGAACAATTTTCTGACGTAGGTCAATAGAAATTTTTTATATTGCTCTAAATAAGAAATTTTTTAACGTTTTTTTCAGTCACCATGTATACTAAGCAATCCACCAAAAGTGGTAAAATAAAATAAAAATGACCTAGCTTTTCAAAAAAAATGTTTTAAAAAATTGCAACTTTGGGAAGCGTAGCAAAAAAGTTGCTATACACTGCTTAAAATTCAGTTTTCTTAGAAATGAAAATAATTTTCACTTATTATTTATTGAAAAGTTTAATGTAAAAAATGGTCGTTAATTACATTGTAATAAATTGTTCAAAACAGCTGTTTCAAATTTAATTTAAAAAAATAGGTTGACGATGGGCATCTGAATTTTCTATTAAACTTTAAGATTAAAATACCCAAGTGTGCACTTTTTTCCTTCTTAAATCAATCTTTACGATAATTAGCTTTATTAATAAAATAGCAAATCAATTAATTAATGATAAAGTATTATAAAAATGTAAGGTTCCTCAAAAATAAAATTTTTCGAAATTCTTGTTTTTGTTTCCGAGTTATGCAAAATTTTTAATTTTGTCAAATGGCAACCCATCCACCATTATTTACAAAGGTTGTTTAATCTAAAGATTGCAACAACTCTACATTTTTTTCAATTTTTATCAAAAAAAAAAGATAAACAAAACAAAATTTCATTCTCAAAGCATGATCCACATTTTTATAGAACCTTTATTTTTATTAATTATTTTTTTCTGAAAAAACGCTTTTAGGTCCATAGTTTTCGTTAACATTATTTGAAAAAATCAACAAAAATTTGTAAAATCTTATATTTTTGTTATTTCCACAGTTAATCTAGCGCAATTAAATATGTCGTAATACGCGTATTTATTAATTGAAAGATAAACGATAAAAATCTAGATCAATTAGGTACATAAAATATAAACAATTTTTTTATTATTTAGATTTAGAAAAAATGCGATAATTATTAGTATTACCTCCCGGTTGAAACACCAAATAATCTGAGAATATAAATTTTAAAACGGTTCATTAACCAATGTTTAACAAATTATTATCCAATGGTCATGACAACTCATTTATGAATAATTCCCGCAATTTCCGTGTCTGCAGAACCATTAATATTTCAAATTTTAATAACAATTACCAATCCCAAATGACCCGAGAAGTAAACAATTTCGTTCCTTTCAAGCGCATCCTCAGCAGCACCGTCAACCTCACAAAGGGTGATAATTACCGTTTCGTAGTGCCTTGGCTAGGAGAGGGTCTTATCACCGGTTCAAGTAAGTCCATCCTCTCCCATTTTGCGATAATTCGAGCTCGCATTGTTCACAGACCATAAAAAATGGCGCGTCCACCGGAAACTAATAACGCCCACTTTCCATTTCTCCATCCTGGACAATATGATGGAAGTCATGACTGAGAAAGGGCAATTTCTCGCCGAACAACTTGCAGCGAAAGCCAACGGACAATTCTTCAACATCTACCCTTTCTTGACCCTGTGCGAACTCGACATCATCTGCGGTGAGTGTGTTGAAAACTGAATTTGCGTTTATTTAGTAAATTTACTGAGAACATTTTCAAAAACAGTTCAGAAAGCTAGAACAAAGTGAACAAGATTTGCCCTTAAATAGTCTTAAACTTCTAGGTCCTCTTTACACTGCTCAATGATCAGTGGTCATTTTTAGAACAAGGAAAATCTTTATTTACTTTAATTAGAATTCAGATACTTTTGGTTTGTTTTAAGTAAACAAACAGTTTTTAATTATTCTAATTAGAACAAAGAAGGTGAAATTGACCATTTTTAAGCAAAAGTAAAGTCTTAAATACTTTCATAAAAATTCAATTTTAAGTAAGATTAACATGCATTTCTCTTGATTAGCAATCCTTAACTTCAAAAAATTCTATCTTAAAAACTACTCGGTATATTCTTTTAAAATTTGGATTTGAACTAATCACGGTGGTTATGATGAAAAAAAAAATTACGCGTAGGTTTTTTTTTAGATTATTTCGATTTACTTCGAACTTCTTTGAACACTGTTCGAAGAAAAATTCGCAAATATTAAATTTCAAATTGCATATCGGTCTAAAGGGCAAGTCCATCCCTTTAGCATGGTCTTTATTTGAAGGAAATCAGCCTAATAGTTATTGAGTAATGATTTTTTGAATCAAATTATTTTAATTAAATTTAAATTAATTCAAATTAGAAAAAAAATATTTAGTTCAAAGTTCTTGGACTTTATGAAAAAAAAAATAGTGCATTTGATTTATCTCACTGAGGCGAACAAAATAATATACAGGGGTATTCATAAAAATGAAGCAATATTTGAACCTCAAAAATGACCTATAAAATGATGTTAATTTAAATAATAACTCGTGTCCTATCTCTACTGATAAGAATTTTACAGCCCTCGGAATGTGGGTATGGAAATTTGATTTTTTTGTAATAACTTTGGATCTATTTGACCAAATATTATAAAATTTGGAACATTTCCTTGTGACAACATACCCTTTAAACTGGTAATCACGAAAACCGGATCCATCCACTCAATTTCCGGTTCCAGCAGTTTCAGGTCACATTTTCTGTGTTTTTCCATTTTTTTGCTCTCTTAACACGAATTTTTTATTGTCCAAATCGGTAGAGTAATCAATTTCAATTAAAAAACGTATAACCTTTAATACCCCTAAAATAGACCGTTTCAAAGATATTTTAATTTAAACTGAGGACTGTACAACGCTGAAACCAAAAAGTAGGGATTTTGAATGGATGATATCCACGGTAACAAATGACCATGGTCTCACTAATCGCTGTCAGGCATCTGTCAACTTTGACATTGGACGATTATTAGACAATTAATCGAAAATATTTAATAAAAGAGTTTACCTCAGATTCCAAACATAACTTAGAATAAATCCAAATGGATCTCGTAGCATTTCATTCATAAAAAATTCACAAAAATTTATCGTCAAAGTTAACAGATGCCTGGCAGCGATTTAGGTGACCATGGTCATTGGTTGCCGTGGATACCACTTATTCAAAATCCCTATTTTTTGATTTCAGCGTTGTGCAGTCCTCAGTTTAAATTAAAATATCTTTGAAACGGTCCATTTTAGAGGTAGTAAACCTTATGCGTTTTTTAATCGAAATTGATTACTCTATCGATTTGGACAATAAAAAATTGGTGTTAAGAGAGCAAAAAAATGGAAAAACACAGAAAATATGACCTGCAACTTCTGTAACCGGAAATTGAGTGGATGTATCCGGTTTTCGTGATTACCAGTTCAAAGGATATGTTGTCACAAGAAAATGTTCCAAATTTTATAATATTTGGTCAAATAGTTCCAAAGTTATTACAAAAAAATCAAATTTCCATACCCACATTCAGAGGGCTGTAAAATTCTTATCAGTAGAGATAGGACACGAGTTATTATTTAAATTAACATCATTTTATAGGTCATTTTTGAGGTTCAAATATTGCTTCATATTTATGAATAACCCTGTATAAATAATATCTCAAGTTGACAAAACATTCCCTTTTTTGTCGCCCTGTGTTATTAGAGTTATTAGAGGATTTTATGCAAATTGCTTATTTATTATTATTATTATTATTATTATTAATAGTAATAATAACAACAACAATAATAATAATAATTTATTTGTGACAGTAATGTGTACAATGATAAAATATTACAATATTACAATAAAAACTTTTAATTTTACAAATTATTTTACCACAAATAGGATCAAAAGGCAGCAAAGCTGATCAAGGTTTTGGCCCAGATAATAAATGAACAATAATAAAAAATATAATAATAATAATAAAAGAAGGAAATAAATCAAAAAGCAGTAAGATTAAATAAAAAATAACAAAATAATATAAGTAAAAAAAAGACAGAGAGAAATTACTTTAGGAGAAACATTTTGTATTTGTGTTTGAAACTGCTGATTTCAGAGTTTTTTAACGTTAGAGGAACTTTACTGTAGAAAAAGTAGATATTATAGACAAAACGAAAATATGAAGGTAATGATATCAGACCCTTGTATCTTAAGTTTAAATTATGGATATGGGTACGATACCTAATTTTACGATATAAATAGGGGAAACATTGGTTAAGTATTAAAGAGTGACAGAAGCAAGTAAAGTGAAACTTCATAGTCATCCAATTTGCATCTTTAAGTTTATGTGAGGTAGATAGATGCTTTCTGATACCATAAATATAGCGTAGACAAGATTTTTGTACTCTTTGAATACGATCTTGTGTTACTGTGTCTAGGCAAGATGTAATTGAAGTGACTTAGAACTAGGAATTTAGTTAATATAATTTATATAAAAATCATATTTGACTTCCAATCAAAAGATCTATAAAATAGTAAATATTGTTAGATAAAATATGCCTTTTTAAGTTTTATATACGCTTTTTAAGTACATTCTTGTATGTAATTTCGAAATCGTAAATCAGTACCTAATAAAAGCCCCAAATTTTTTGCTTCTTTTGTGCAATTTAATTTACAACTTCTTACCCCAATCAATTACATTTGAAACATAATCCTTATTTTTAACAAAAATCATAACCTTGGATTTAGCCGAATTTATAGATAAACTATGTTTTTTAGAGTTTTCCACAAGTTGCAGTAAATCTTTATTAATAATGTCATTGGCAGCTTTCAAACTATAAGAATCGAAACTATAGTAAACTTGAGTGTCATCTGCATATAGATGAATTTTATAGTTTTTCAAACACGTTGAAAGATTGCTGGTATAAACAGAAAAAAGTAGCGGTCCCAAAATCGAACCCTGAGGTACGCCACAAGATATACATTCCAAATTTAAATTACCAATTTAGGTTCTTACATATTGCTTGCGATTTGGAAGATAACCGTTTAGAAGTTCCATAGTTTGTTGTGAAAAACCAATAAAATTTAAGATAGACAAAAGTAGGATTTTTTTTTAATTTAAGATGTGCACAAAACATAACAAGACAATTTGAATAATCCAATTAAAAAATGTATATTTTGCATATTTTTAAGTTTTTGGAAGTTGTTGCATAATTTCGATATTTAGCGCATAAGCATATTTGCATATTTTAAGTGTTTGCAATAGGCATTTAATCATTTTGTCATCATTTTATAAATTTTGAAATAGTAACTGGAGGTTTACTGCTATATCGGACTATGCACAACCTCTGGCGTTACTCTTGCCTTTTCAGAATTCAGTAATTTAGCTTTACTCAGATATTTTTAAAGCAAATAGGCTAATAGTTGTAGTCACTCGCTGGGGTACATAGTTAGAGGCAGCATTTTTTTATGCCGACCATTGTCACAATGTTAAAAATATTACTTCAGATTTTTTGAATCAAAAATAAAATGTAAAAATTTACTTGATAAAAGAGTAATAAGAAAACAATTAGCATTTATTAAGACAAATTATACGTTTTTAAGTAAGCATATTACTCGAACAGAAACTAGCCAAGTGTCCCTTTCTGAGACAATTAATATTGTGAATATAAGTGAGACAAGATTTATCAGCGAATCATCGTCAAAAGTTAACAATGGAAAATTTAGAAAAGCATGCCATTATTAAGTGGCATTTGATTACAACTAATATTTCTGACTAGTTGATAATCTAATTATCTACTTATCTATAGATAGTTTACAGCATAACTTGCAATGTAAATTAAAATTTTTGTGATATATTTCTATTTCTTACGAGTAGATGTTAATAAATTATTTAAATATTTTGTTTTTAAGTGCTTGCAATTTTCCATTATTTTTACATCCAAAAAATTCTGCAATATTTAAACATATTTAGTGAAAAACTGCATATTTTTTATATATTTTTCTCTTAAACACTGGTCGCCACAATTAACCGGACAACAAAAATTTTGCGATTTTTTACATTGCAATATTTTTGTTATTCTTTGCAGAACATTGTAATTTAATTCAATAACATTTCTAGTTTTGTCTTGTAAATGTTATACCTAAAAGACGAGGGCACTATACTTTTTTTTTTACTCAGCTGTAGTGTGCAACAGAGACAAAAGTAAGTTTTTACTTATTTCAGATTATTGCCCGTTTTTTTCTGAATGAGGACCAATTTGTTTCAAAATTTTAACTTTTAGTGCCCCAGAGATTCAAAACATTGCTTTTCTAATGTTACTAAATAGGTATTCGTTCAGAAAGTACTACATAAAATGGTAATTAAACCAAAAATTATTGCTTATGTCCCCAAAAAAACAGAAAAAAATCTGAAAAACTTGAAACTCAAAGGATTACAACAACTAAAACGGTTATTTGGAAGCTTCCATGCGCCTATTTTAATATTTTGGCACATTTTGCCTACTTAATACGAAAATTCATTGAATTCGGAAATGTAATGCTTTTTTGAAGATTTATATCTCTCATGTCTCAAGAATTAAAATTATAAAAATGTGGTACATAATTCAGAAAACAATGGGCAATAATCTAAAATCAGTAAAAACCTAACTTTGTCTCTGTCGCATACCACAGCTCAGTATAAAAATGA